CATATATATATATATATATGTTTATTAATTAATCTATTTATCACTTTAGTATTTGAAATTTAAAATTGTTGATGCATATGTGAAACATTTTGAAATATTTACCCCCTCTGATATTTATTTTAATTTTTATAAACAAGATGAAGAATTTCAAAGCAAAATGTTTACAAAATAAAAATTTTCTTCATCCCAGGATGAGAGATTTCTTTTAGCTTTCTTGCCCTCGCCATTCAGACTTCACCTCCTTAGTTTAACCTGATATTTCTCTCCCTTTCAGTTCCTTCTTATTTTCCGCAAGGCGGCTGCAGGAGAATTGGCAGCCGAGAGCGGATTGTACGAAATATACACGCACCTCAGTGAAATTGACGTGGATAAGGAGGGCGTCAAGGGAGCCAAGAACTTCTTTGAAGCCAAGGTACAATTAGAAAAACACAATAATAATATTGTTTAGAGTCTAAATGCCAGTTTTGTTCAGTCAACTTTACAATACACAGTAGGAGTAGAGTGTTTCTTTATGTACGCTAGCTTCAGGTTTGGTACTTTGAAATTTGGTACTTTGAAAATTAACATCCTGGGTTTTTTTTTTTTTTTTTTCAGATAGACCAGCAAACACAGGAAAAGAAGTTTGAGGAGGAAATCCGACAAGAGCAAGAGGAGAAGAGAATTCAGCAGGAAGAGAAAAAGGAAAGACAGCAAGCCTTTAAAGCAAAGACAACGTTTTTTAAACAAGAAATTGAAAACCAAACCAATTGAGATCAAAAAGTGATTTGACTGAGAAGAGGGTGGGGGTAGAGAGTGAAAAGAAAGTGCCCAAAATGGGGGGGATGGGGGGGGGACTAGAAATTCATCAGTATCTATATTTGTTATGTGTAATGCAAACATTCACTAAAAATTTCATCCATAAGATATATATATGTGTTTGTGAGTGACAGCTAGATTTTTATTTCATTTTTTGATACAAATATGTTTGTAGCACTGAGCCAATTACACGTAGGTTCATGTTAACCCTGGTTTTCTACCGGTAATGTTGTATATCAGTTAATATGTAATGTGCCTTGTTTGCAACAGTATATACTCTTTAGTATTATTCGTCTATGCAAGATCATTTTAGTCTTTCACAAATTTTGTGAGGATGACTGTTGATCATGATTTTCTTTTATTGTACATCCTCCTTGTTGAAACACAGTAGCATAATTTTCAGCCAAATACTTTTTTTCTTTTTATTTTAAGAGGGTGTATGAAGTTTGTTATCCAATCCTCCAATTTGGCCGTAGGGGTTTTTGCTGTCTGTTATCTGTACATGTGTGAAGGTTGGAATAATTTCAACATTCAAAATCCAAGATGCAATGAAAGAGTCGTAATATTTGTTTTGAAGCAGCACTGTGGGTGAGGAACAGTTAGATTGGGGTGTCTTGTGTGTGTGTGTGTGTGTGTGGGGGGGGGGGGGGGATAAGGATATGGAGGAGGGTTAAGATTTAACTTGAGAACATCAGGTTAAAGGCAAAGGCTTAATGATGTATTTGAATGGGTCAATGTTTGCAAAGTTTAATACTCAGTTATTTGTGCTTAAAATGAGTTGATTCATGTGAAATATGTTACATGTTTGACAAAGTTGTGATCAGTGTTCCCCAGGGGATGTATTGATGAGCCTCTGTGTGCATTGTTGCATGTCTATGTGGGCAAGTCTGATTTTTTTAATGGAAAATTCTATACACCATGGAAGCTTCAGCTCAGTGATACAGAAAAATATGTTACAGGCATTTTGAAAGTGAAGTACTTCCCATTTTGGCTCAATTAGACACTGTGTGCAGGTATTGAAGACTATATCTGTATCAAAATATTGGAGAAATTGTAGAAGTTTGTATAAAATAACAACCTCAGCAGCTCTCACAGTGGAGCGGTGGCATTGTGTAGGTTTTACCTCAACCTTTGTGTACGTTTATGCAACTAGTACATGATCTTATGAATTCCAAATGTTGAAAAAAATGGGCAAAACATACCTCATTGTTCTGAACAAAATAACTGACTTTTCTTCCATAAGAATCTTTTGACTTTTATCTTTTAAATGAGAAAATAATGTGAGATATGTTAATGTTTCAATGTCAAGAGGGCTGCTACTTAATGTTTGCCAAACTGTGATCCCAATGTATGACTGATGTGTCAAATAACATACTCCACCAAAGTCCCATAATGTAGAGAACGTTTTTCTGAATCTGGTTAAAATGATGCTGTAGGCAGACTACAGTGGGTTAAAAACCCCTAGTCTAAAATATGAGAGAATTTAGGGGGAAAATTCAAATTTTCTGTGCATTTGATTTGAGTAATTTGAGATGGGAGTAAACAAAAGACAACACGCGACTTTTATGTGCCTAGTCCAGCTGGTGGTACATGCCCAGGAGACGGTATAGCCTCTCTGATCCTCTAGTTTGAGGTGAGGGTAGACCGTGTAAAGGACACTCAGCTCCAGGTTTTTGTAACTTGTTAAATTTCTTCCAGATCTTGTAAGATGTTGACATAGAATATGTCAATTTGTGATCATCTACAGTATATTTACTACCATCCAACATAAAGATGTAGACTTGAAAGAAAATACATGTTTAATGTTTCTGATGTTCAAGATTTAAAAGTATATTAGTGTTGCAACAACTTGTTAGGTTTATATATTATATTTCATTGTCTTCATTCGTCATTGTTATTGTTGCCATGATGGGCTCTGTTACCAAGGTGATCATTGCCATGGTTACTGTTATCACTTTGCATGTTCACCATATGAATAAAGCTTTTGAAACACTTGTTTTTTCTGTTATGAGTTTCTGTTTGCTATGGTACTGGGAATTTTTTAAAAATGATATTGAGAAAATGTGTGGTCCTTGGCATGAAGCTGACAAACACTGAGATATCATACTAGTAATTACCTCTGCCAAGGAGGTCATGTTTTCACCCGTTTGTTTGTTTGTTTGTCATCAACATGGCTCAAAAAGTTATGGATGAATTTCGATGGAATTTTCAGGGTAGGTCAGAAATGGGTAAACTTAGAAGTGATTAGTTTTTGGTGGTGATCCGGATCAATAATCAATCAATAATCAATAACCAAAAATCAAAAAACAAAGTTATGGACCAATTTTTGATGAAATTTTCAGGAACTGTCAGAAGTGGGCCAAGGAACAGATGATTAGTTTTTGGTGGTGATCTGGATCAATAATCAATAATCTAAAAACTAAATCATTATAGAATGAAAATTTAGGAGTGAAACGGCATTGGATGGAGACTTTGCTGCCTTGGTGGAGGTCTGTGTTCTCGGAGTGAAAGTTCATTGTGTTAGGTGTGCAACTCCAACACAATCCTTCCTCATCTATTTTGGTACCTTGGCTTAGAATGCAACAGGCCATATCTTCTGTATGTTTTCTCATTGAATACTACAGCTTAATTAACATGTTCCCCATTATTTGCACATATTTTCCATGCACTTAAAACTTTGCACTCATCACATAAAAAGAAAGCATTTTTAATCTGAATTTATTGATAGGGTAGTACATTTAGGGTGGGGATATAAATGATAAAAAATCTTCAAAACCTTTGGTAGAATAACTTTAGAAGTGAGGATGTTGTTCAAAAGCAAACAAAAAAGCACTAAAAAGTTTGATCAAAATTACCACACATAAAGGAAATCAACATTACTAATTAAAGCTGATAACTAACAAAAAGTCATGATTGTACTTGCTATAGGCAGTTGAAACAAGAAATGAAATGGTCAGCAGTTTGACTTCATCAACGTCTTTCTCCCACAATCATCAAACACAAGAACTGTGCAGTATCACATGGAAAAGAATAAGTGTTATATAAAACAAGAAAATCGAAAACATCCCAAATCTACCTTAACCCTTCAAATGTTAGCACTAGATGAGGATATATCCATTAGAAATACATACTGCTCGGTTCACACAGTTCCAAATTGACTATTTTTACGCCGTGAGGTCCAGACTTCCTATCTCCTCACTGCAGCAGAACTAGAATCATAATCATTATGCCATGCTTGTGTCTCTATGGGGGTATCACCCTTTCTAAAACCTCAAGTTAGATAAAGAATGCACAGCTATTGCATTAAAAAAGCCAAGTTGTTCTTTTACAATAGGACGAAAGTACAAAACTGCGTATCACAGAGTTCTTTGTCGACTTATTTTGAGCACCCTTTGGGTATTATAATAAGATATTTAGAGTCTAGTTTTGACTTATGGCATCTCAAGAAATTTAACTGCATGCATAAGAAAATTGAGGTGAGATTGGGTTCGTATCTTGGTATGAGAGGCGTATTACAGCTGTTCACTTGCTGGCTTTGGTAATCTTATTGGTATAAACCCCTGCATTTCTCTGCTAATCTGCCCTCTTTTACACTTTTCCCATGTTTTCTTTTTTTCTATAAGATATATTAAGCACATTCAAATTAAAATGTCAATCACACAAAAAAAATTTAAAGTTTGAAAACTGCATCCAAACAGCTATAAATTCACCTTTTCTAACTAAGACACAATCTAACACTTTAATCTGTTCATCAAATGAAAAACCAGTCTGAAAACTATATAATTTGGAATTCCCTAATAAAAATACCCATACGCTGCATCTACTAAGGAAGAACCTGTCATTTAAGGTAAAATAGTGACAGTTGGACTGCATATTATACTGGTATTCTTAGAGCCCCAATGTCTCAATGACTGTACATAGGCATACATATATATGATATATATATTGATTACTGTGCAGTGAATGATTTACTTCCATGCTGTTATAATACAGATTAATTTGTGTGTAGGCATTACCATAACAGGAAATGTTTTGTAGCACGTTCACCTACAATTTGTTCATTATCAAAGCTTATCACTAATGAACCTTACGAACAGGAAATATTTGGCATCCCCCCAACACGCCTACTGATCAACATCTCCTTTCTCAAGGTAAAAATAATACTAGCTGGTTTGTAAGTAGTCTTAGTGTAAATGTATGGTAATAAACCTATCCCACTGTACAACTAATACTGAGACTTGATGCTCAATACTGATCATAAAAATTCCTGTGTTACAATATCACCAGCTTACAGCTAAATCTTTTACTTTTTTATTGTAAGTCTTTAAAGATATGGTAAACAGCAATTACAAAACATTATTATATATATTTAATTTAGTAAAAGTAAAAAGCATTGTGTTCTTTCTAAGTGTAAGATAATATAAAAGTTTATGGATAATTATTTGAAAAATGGACAATTTGTAAGTATACTGTTCATTAATAAAATTTTGATTTAATTAATACTATTAGCTAGTGTTGTGAATGAGGATAAGCATAGATAAATGATTGTCTTTATAAAAAAAATTCTAACCAGTCACATATTCATTTGCTATTCAGTTTGTGAAATGTAATGTCATCTGACAGCTTTAGAAGAGCATCTCAATCTCCAAAAAGACAAAAATTTACTAGACAAAAAGAGGGCAACACAACCTAATGAAACATACATAGCATCAACATAACACACCAGAAGGGGATATTTTTAACATTCTTGTTAAAAAAAAAGAAGGAAAAATTACCAAAAGAATAGGAAATGAAACGTCAGTAAATGAAATACAACAAACAATAAACAGAAGACTTTCAAACAACAAAGGGTCAGCCCTCATTTGGAGGATCTCTTAATTTCAAAGGACCTCTTTTTTTTAAAAAAAATCACATTTTTAACAAACAAACAAGTCATTACAAGAGAAAAAAATTCTGCCAAATCCTTAATAACCAAGCATTCGTAACAAAATATCCACAGAAAAAAAAATCATAAAAATTTCATCATCTTTTCATCTACCCCAGAAGATCATCCACTGTTTTCAAACCATATCTCTGCGGGCTGCGAGTTTCTCCGATGTCTTTTCCAGCCATTTTTCCGTCCACCATATATTCCTTACCCATCACCCCTTGTGCCCACAGGATAATCTTATCAATATTGGGCGTGGGCACTCCAACAATCTCAGCGATGCCGCGAGTGACGGTGAGGCCAAAGGGGATGTCCTCTGTCAGGTACCTCTGGGTGAAAAGCGGGACAAATCCGTTTCCGTCCTTACTGGGCTCCATGGGATGAACGAGACCTGGGTAGCTCTTGTGTGTGCGGAGGATGGTATAGATACTGGTCTTATCTGGGATGTGGTTCGGCCAAGTATCCAAGTACCTGTTAACACAACAAACAATACGTTTACATCATCAACAAGTACAGGTGTCAATAAGCTTCTGATAGCTAACAATGATTTCAAAGACTACTTACTTGAAAGACATGAGAAGTCACATCATTTATAACTAAATATCAACAAAAGTATTCATGAAACAGTTCTATGCCCAAGGTGAGAAACTACCAAGAAAAGAATGCATACAGCTGTGGTCTCATATGTTGTCAACCACTGAATCCACAGTTGCCAGTTTTACTATTTGTTAGTATTATCAATGACTTGATGATTAACAATTAATAAGGTACGTACACATACAAGCATGCCAAATTCACATACACAAGCATGTGCAATCTTGTATACAACACACATACACACACACCCCATCTCATACACACACATACACACACACAACATCTCACACACACATACACACACACATACACACACACCAGCTCTCTCTTTAACACACACACACACACACAATTACCCCCACACTCACACACGCATGCACTCACACACACACACATGCACACTCACCAGTCTCTAACAGAGACCACTTGGGAGAGATCAGTGCCAGGCCTCCGTTTTTCAATTTCCCTGGCAATATTCTGAATCTCTTGGCTGACATCCTCCAACATCTTGGCAGTGACCTCATCCAGGCCATTATAAAACAGCGGCTTCTCGGCCAGCGGTTTGCCGTCCCAGTCATGCCACCTGCCATACATGATGGTGGTGTGGAGGTAGGAGTTGATTGCAATCAGCGTGGTGCCCAGCAGGTGTCCCTTGCATATCAATGTAGGTCGGTTACCTGCAAGAACAGAGGTTAAACACATTATATAAAAATGAATATTATTATAACTGAGGTGAAGACATTATATAACAATGTAAAACAATTTTATATATACTAATATAATTGACAGAGGTAAAGACACATTATTTAACAATGTATAACAATGTATACTATAATAACTAAGGTAAAATATCATATAACAAGGTATGAAACAAATTATATAACATGAACTAACAATGTATTATTTGAGGTAAAAACATTATATAAAAATGTATGAAATAAATTATATAACATGAACTAATAATGTATTATTTGTATAATATAGCACCCTGAGGCTGAGAGATCAGTGGAAAAAAGCCAAAGCCAATGTTAGTCCCCAGTGATTTGTGAAGTGCAGGGTGAGCACGTACATGGACACAAAAACAGGCGTCCAATGATATTAAACCACAAAAATTAATCAGAATTTTACCAATTTATTATTTTACTTTAATGATTGATTTTTGTTTACTGTAAATAAGGATGTATGTTATTGTAGGAGAGAATTATGAAACATAAGCTTAAATCTGTTCTTTTATCCAGGACTGACCCTTTTACAATGAATTCAGAGAAATCCTCTGCTGACAAACAATGTACAGGTAATTATACCACTCTGTACTTACCTGACTTTCTGAGTCTTAGTAACAAATACTAGCACTGACACAAGCTTTGTTCTGATCTAACCCTCTTAAAGCCTCTTATTTATATTAAGTATGAAACACTGTATCTTTCAAGATAGGACTTTGATTGCATATATGGTAGAGCGATAATTATGGCCACAGCAATCATCAACTGATAGATTTTCAGAATTCTTAGTCCAGATATGGATTAAACATAACATCCTTCTTGACAGCACTTTGGCTAGTCAATGATGCTACATCTGAGCAATGATATCAAATTGGCCATGCAACTGACAAGATTTTCACACCCAGGTACAGATTTGATCAATTCCAGCAAAATAGTTCAGTGAACTAGTAAAATACCTAAGCTTCCTTGTCCGTAGGTGACGGCTTCCAGAGGTGAGTTTCCCAGCACCGTGGGTCCTCCCTCACCATGCATAGATCCTTTCATAAACCCTTTCACTCCCAGCACATCTACTCCCTTCCCGTACTCTGTGATACGGCACGCCCACGGTAGAGACTCAAAGGACATGAGGATGCAATCGTTGGCTAATTGCTTTCCAAGGATCTCCCTCACCTGAGAAGAATTAAGAATTTGAATATTATTTCATTTTATCATTTCCAGAGATCAGTCATGGAGTCAGGACCAGCTGCAATAAACCCATACATTACATTTTGCATCTGGTTATAATTTTTTGAGATTTTTCAAATCTAGGAGTTTGCTAATTAGAATTCAAAATGAAACTTCACAAAATAATGTTTTGTTTGCAAAACCTGAAAAAATTCTGATAAGGGTTTGAAACAAATAAGTTTTTGGGAGTAAGGTGGTTGTTACTTATTATACATGTAATGACAGCTTTTGATAAATTGCCTGATATTTGAAGAGATACATACAACTATAGCAGCTATAATGCTTAAAAATCATGGTAAAAAATAAAAGCAACTGAAAGACAGACAACTGTACCCTGTTATTGGCACTTTATATATATAAACAAGGTTTTATCAAAATGCCATTGGTTTTCATGATTATAAGGTAATGGAAATATAAAAGTAATTACTATTTCACCTCAGCTTACCTCATATTAAATTGGGCTGAGAACTAGGCATTAAAACAGATCACTGAAAATCCTTAATGGAGATACCCTTTAAAATTCAATTAACTTTCCTGTCAAGCTTTCAAAGTAAATTGAATAATGCAATTTAGAAATTTGATAGGGAGACTCTCTCTGTTATAATGGAGAAATTTGAAGAAAGCTACTTTACAACTGAGAAAGGACTAAATCCCCACATCATATGGCTAGCTTTGTATTAGTAACCCAGAGAGAGAGAGAGAGAGAGAGAGAGAGAGAGAGAGAGAGAGAGAGAGAGAGAGAGAGAATGGTGACCAAGGAAGAGAAATATCCATAATCTGCTTTTAATTAAGAAAGTAAACCTGGTAAAGTAGCACTTTTTCCTCTGAGAAGATCAAGCCCAGGTAGAAATTAAAGCTTACAAACCTCAAACTCAAACCCTGGTGCACCAGGCATTGCTGCAATGATGGTTCCTTTCCTGCAGTACGGCTTGAGTGCCTCCAGGTACTGGCGATGTCCAAATGCCGGCACCACCAGGTAGATGATGTGGCACCCCTCCCCCGCCACCTGACATACAATGAATTATCTTAATATCTACACACTTTCATGCCTGGACTCAGAGAAAAAAAGTAGGAAGAAATGGTATGGACTACATTTGCGGTTGAAAACTGCCAAGAAAAAAAATATTGAATTTCTGGTTCAGAAATGTCAACAGGTACAGTCAAAAATGTTGTCAACAATGGAATCAGCAGTTACCATGAAGAAGAATTTTTTGTCATTTAAATGACATTTGGAAAATGATTTTTGCAGACAACATCAAGAGTGTATTAGAACGAATGTATTAACTAAAGAATTGCTAGTAATACATTCTTCCCAATATTTTGAAGAGTAGCTGACTAAACTTTTTTGGAAGCAAACTAAAGTATTTTTTCCTATCCAAGGCAGCATTTCAACCACCAAGAAATGTCCACTTGTGCACTCAGCTGATTTCACTGTCCTCTCCTGCTCTGATTTCATAGGGATTGAAACTTTAAATTTATTAGAAGGCAATTAAGAAAAAAAAAAATAGAGCAGAATATGTCACAAATAAACTTAATGAATCTGATAATCAAAATATTTGAGTTGTAATAACGTTTTATAAAGACAATTTTCTCTTATTAAGTTATCTGAAAACATTCTCAATAATAATAATAATAATAACAACAAAAATGTCAAAATTACCTTATTTTTTTTAAATGAAAATAAAAAAATCTGCACCATCTTGTGATAAACTTATGGCTACCCTACCTTGGGGTCTTTGGTAACCAAAGCTGGTTTGGCTTTCAGTGAAGAACCATTTTCAGTAAAATTCACAACAAAGTCATTCGTCTTCATGGTATTGGTCCACCTTTCAGCCTCGTCTGCAAACAGGGTCAGAACACGAGCCTCGACATCATCCTTGGAGCCCGCGATTCCAGCCAGGGCATGGGCGCCATTGCCTCCCCCACAGATGACAACCACCAGTTTGTTGCTACCCATTCTTGTCTGGAAATATACATGATAATTCTGCAGAACTGAACAAGATGATATAGAATAATTCTTTACTTAGGCCCCATTCAGAATAGGGGACTAACTAGTCTGAGGGTCAAATATGGCGGACCCACCTGAATACCTCCCCACGGGATATCTATTCAGTGTCTAATCGCAGATTAAACTGCAAGCTTTGTAGTGGGTGGCCATATTTAAACCTTGGACTTGTTAGTCCCCTATCCTGAATGGGGCCATAGAGACTAAGTACACAGGTGGTGGACCTAAACGGCATGTTTGACTGATGTTATTTAGTCTCTAAGGAAAAAATTATAATTATATTTTATCATCCTATCTAGAGACCATGAAAAAATGCTTTTAAATGCATAAAACTGAACGTGCAGAGCTATAGAAAGCTGTGTATTAGTACAATAATGTAGGCTGAACATGACAGAAGGCCTCTCATAGAACACATTGGTGTCGTGTCTTGAGGTTGGAATGTGTGTGTGTGTGTGTGTGTGTGTGTGTGTGTGTGTGTGTGTGAGAGAGAGAGAGAGAGTGGAGGAGGGGACTTGTGACCCTTCAACTTCAAAGTAAAAAAAAAAAAAAGAAAGAAAAAAATTTGCAGACTTCTCTTTTAACAACTTCTATGACATGGTATCGAGTAAGAAACAAAATCTGCCATTTCCAGGCCAGGACAGTCAAGACGTCACATCTGCCACAGCTCAAACTAATTAACTTCAATTCAGAAAATCATTCCCTGGCATGTGAATTACTTATAATTACTAATCAATGTGGCCAGCTCCCCAGAATTTAGTGCCTAGGGGAGGTGCTGGAATGGTATTAACAGCATTTCCAAGAATCTCAGTCTTCTTCCACTTTTCATAATATTTCCAAGAAATATTGAAATATAGCACAAGTTGACGTAATTAGCTTTTCAGCAAAGTGGAAGCTGTCAGTCCCTGGCTCTGTAGTGATGATAAAATACAGAAATGGAGCATTGCTTTCTGAAATACATCACTATTTCAATTTGGACTTTACATTTCTCGTCTTTTTTCTTTGCATTTCTCATTTTTAAAGTGATCCCAACAACAGAATTATTTTTCACATTCATTAGCAAGCTTCATAGGAGGTCATAGAAATATTAAGTGGCTTCCAGTCTCCTCCAGCTATAATTAAAGCATACAGTCACTCTAATTATCAGCTACAAAAGTAAGCTAAGTAAGAACCAATGGAGGAAACTTTTGGCCTATGTGTGTTGAGTGCATAGAGACTAGGTAAACTGAGGACGACCCATGATGCCCACACGGTATCAATCAACAAGAACGCTGACGTTTATAAGAATTATTCTGTAGAGGAAGAAGAGAACTTGTGCACACTGTACACGCAGAGAGAGCACAATTAGACAACATTTTGAAGACGGGTCTCACCATAAAATATCATTTGATTTAGCCAATCTTTTTAATTGTGTAATTTCCTCTCAAGAAACATGGTTAGTGATCACTTTAGCTGGCCAGGTGCTTATATTAGAGAGTTTCCAATGTCTATGCGATACAATGGCAAGATTGTTACATATAAGTAAATGTGGCCAGTAACCTGCTATCTCTTGTCATGTTCTGGTAAATGCTTTGGCATGCCAGCATTTCTCACTGTAATAATTATACTGGATGTAATTATACTAGACTACTAGTGAAAGCATTCACTCATTATTAGCAGATATATTGGTGAAAACAGCAATGCCTAGCTTAGAGACCTGCACTTAATTCACTGGTCGGGGATTGACAGGGTACTCGATCCAGATGGTCTCTCTACTATATATAATAATTACCAGAGACCTCTCAAGCATCTGTATGGCTGACAGCGGCAGTTCGACCTGTGTAAAATGGAACGACAGACAGCCTTATGTTTCAGTTCGCAGGGTCAGAGATGCCACTGACCGGGGCACATTTCTATGGAGCATTGTGTCTCCATGACATTCAACTGAAATCTGACCCGATTCAGAGCACATCGTAAACTTTACCATAAACTTTACCGGAGCATAACACTCACATCCCAGCAGTAATTGCCAGCATAGAAGTAACTGCTTTCAATGCACTGTGACATTTTGCTACAACCTAAGTACATTACAAGTCTTTTGCCTAGAAATAATATTCATATTAACTTTTACATAATATACTGCTGAAACACATGGCACAAGGTCAAGTAGTCACAATTTAATAGGAAACTAGACTTGGGCCTTTATAAAACCTGGTGAAGTTAATAATAATAACTTATGCCAAGATTGACATTTCAAGTCAGGCTTCAGATGAAATAATTATAATGGAATGCTAGAAAAGTACCCAGCCAGCTAAGTTTTCATTTTCATTGCACTTATAAATTTAATTCAACTGATGAAAAAAAAAAGCAAAATCCCATGGAATCCAGGCTAGCCTGCTTCTTACCCAATCACCCTAAGAAAAAACCATCAAATAATCAGCCCAGAACTTTCTGAGTTAGGCTATTAACTAGTTAAACCAAAAATGGGCAAACTATTAACTGCTTGGTGGAAGTATTTTTGGCAGAGGTAATGAGGTGTAAACCTGTCCCCTCCTTCACCCTTGCTGCCCCTCTGTCTGCTCTTCGTCCGGCAGACTGACGAATATCTCATCTTATTCACAGGTAGACAGGTAAATAATACTGCAAAGTTGTGTGTTCACACAGATTTATTTGGGATGCACTCTCTCAGAACGATTGCTTCTTGAATTAATTCTGTTCCGATATTACAAGGGGTGGATTGCATTACCCCATGCTGATAACAAGCCAGACGTACTGGTACCTATACAATCTGATCCCTCTAAAACAAGACAACAAACATGAGCAGTAGGATGATAACTGGGCCAAACCTGTCATGGAATGAGATCACTCCAAATGCTGTTTTGTGCGAACAGGGCAGAAATCTTATCATAAATCATTAAAGCTCACAGTTGCGGACCACATATATAAACTGCCAGTGAGGGAAAGATGGAGAGTTATGGTCTAACTGAAGGGAGTGTTTAGCTAAGGCCCAGTTATCCACAACTCTAGAAAGTCTGTTAACTGTTGTGTCATATGTTTTTAGAAAAACCTGCAGCAAAACACCAAAATTAATAAACATAATTATTTTATCCAATTAACATCGTCATGCAAATCAACAGAGTTTTTAAACATGCTAAAAAGATTAGCAAGGCAGGAAATACCCAGAAGTGTTTGATTTTGTTATGAAACAAACAAGCATGCATAGTGAGAAAATTAGCATCACTACCTGATAAAGAATAAATACCAGTACTTTCACTACATAAGCAAGACTATGGAAATTTTCTCCACCTACTCTGCCCCCCCCCCCCCCCCCCCCACACACACACACACACATAGACCCCATTTCCAGAGATTAGATCGAACTACTTTAGATCGACCTAACTCCCTGGGGGTTCACGCTAAATAGCTGTCAGCCGACACGAAAGTTAATTACCCCCTTACAGCTTGTCGGGACGGACATTAAAGCCGGAATTTCTGACAGTAATCTAGTGAGACTCCCCGCGGGGATAGATCGATCTAAAAGCTCTGGGAATACAGCCATACACACACACACATATCAGTACTTACATTAGATGTAAGCATAGCAACAGTGTAATCCCTCCCTCCCTCGATCTCTCCCTTCTCTTTCTCTTTAACTCAGAACACATACAAAGATATGTGGTTTGGTAAGTGTATCAGATAAAAGTGAAAGTTTATTTGCCTCTCT